AGGCCTCTGGGCCCACAGGGAAGCGGGGCCAGACCTGGGAGGACTAAGCCTGGGTGGACCAACCGCATGTGGAACCATGACAAGGCCAGCTAAACACAGAGATAAGCAACCTTTAGGCCCACGGGACTAGCACCAGCATCCTCGCAGAGACCCGAGGGCACCCCAGGAGCAGGGCAGAGCCTCTGTAGTGGCTGGCAGCAGGGGAGGGGTGGCTGGCTTTAGGGGGGATCGGAGTTCCACGCCTGTGAAGCTCTTTGCGACAACCTGGCACTGAGTGAGTCTTAACAGATATTAGCTGCATTTTTTTTTTTTTAAAGTTTATTCATTTACCCCTCCTATAAGCAAGAGAGACAGCACTCTCCAGAGTCACCCCTTCCTTCTGCCAGCCCTGGGTCATGGGCACATGCGTGCTCAGTGAACTCAGAAAGGTCTCTAGATGGGACCAGAACATTCCGCCTGGGCCAGCCTCACAGCATTGCACGTTATTGCTGCCCCGCTGCCCGGCCCTCTCCGCCATTGCCCATGCTGGCTTAGCAGAGACCATCGCCTTCCTGCGGCCATAGAGACTCAGTGGCCCCCTGAGGACAGCGACAGTCTCTGCCTTCAGCAGCTCGCAGACTAGGAGAGCCAGACAGCCTGGCAGTTCGGTGACGGGAAATGTACAGGAGGTGGGCAGAGCACAGAGGAGCGGAAACGGCCTTAACCCAGGCTTGCGGGGGCTGGGGTCGGTTAGGCAAGTTTTCCAGAAAATGTGGAGTTTGCAATGTGGCTGTTACTGTCTCCATGTTTCAGATGGAGACACGGAGGCTCAGAGAGATCACACGTCTTTCAAGTAATGGAGCTAGGGTTTATTTGTTTTGTTTTGTTTTTTAGAATTTAATTTTTGTCAGTGTGTGCTCTTCAGAGACAGAGAGACAGAGGAAAGGGAGAAAGCACCCCACAGAGGAGCATGGCCATGCCACAATCCCTTCTCCATTCCACCGTCCTGTCACAATGTTGGGCATGTACTCACATGTGTCCAGTGTGTTTTCCACACCACCAGGGCTGAAATTCGAACCACGTGGTCAGCTCTTGGGATCCACTTCCCTTAACCACTAGGCCACAGGGCCAGTCCGATGGCGGTAGGTTCTCATCTAGAGCTGTGGACTTGGTTGCCTACTCCCTGGTCCGTTTCTAGGGAGACCTTTGGGGTTCCAGGGCATGGTGTACTCAGCAGGGTTTGATTACGAAGACCGTGGGTGCCACGCAAAGGCACCCTTTCTGAAGGTTTTGGGCAGCCACTGACAGTTTTCAGCTGGGGAGCAGGTGGTCAAGGCAGTCTGGCCTGGCAGTCTGACCTGGCAGTCTGGCCTGGAATGAGCTCGACAGAAGATGTGTCTTGGTGTGTAGGGGGCCCAGACAGCATCCTGCCCAGACAGGAACCACACGAGCTCTGCAGGGCTGTGGACCAAGGTCTCAGGTCTCAGGAAGGAAGCTCGGAGTTCTCGGAGGACCCAGATCCAGCTTCCAGCTGCTTCTGTGCACGCTGCTGATGTCCCTGAGCCCTGGAGAAGTGGGGGGGGGGT